GCGTGGTGAGGATCCAGGCCCTCGCATCCATGTGTTGACTCCCAATACAGCGCGTGCTGCCGCAAGCTCCGGCGCTCAGCCTTCACAGCTGGCTTTGCCAGCCCCTGAGCCACAGCAGCCTGCTGCAATTTCAGAAGCAAGGATAGACCAATTCACACCAACCTCCAATCAAGACATTTGGAATCTGGCCAACGCTTTGAAGGCATTGGTAGATCAAAACGCTACCAAAACACGAATTTCCAAATTTGAGACGGCTTCTGGATTGTTTTTTTTTGCTGATGGCCTCTTCTTTCAGCAACACCTTCGTGTGCGGCTACCACCAGACAATATATGTATCGATGCAATGCGCGGTTACTATTCCAATGGTGTCGCCAATTGCGGAAGTGGCTCTTTGCGTCTCTGCAGTACAGAGCCAATCCAATTGGACGATCGCTGGCTTGAAGCAAGCTGCCCTGCTGAATGAATGGACGGGTCCAAAGGGTAGCAAGCATGTGTACCGATCATATGTAGAAGGCCCTTTTTCCGAGAAGCTGTTCGCTCCTGATCTATATAAGGGCAAAGCCAACCAGACAGAATCCTTGGTGCCTTTACTGCTATATATATATATATATACTATCTCAAGGTTGGATCAAGACACACTGCGCGCCCATCTCCTGAGTTTTTTTTGTCCTAGCCCAGCGTTGCCAAGAGCTACGGCGTCTCAAGTACCAGTGGACACCAGTCACTGTTCTCGATGTCGCTGCGTTGCAGCTTGCGCAAGAAAGTCACCAAAGAAGTTTCATTGCGTGCTACGGTTCAGGCACCATCAAGCCTAAGCACCACTTTCGACTACACCTTGGACAAACTTTTGTCACATTGGGAGCAGGCTCATGAATCAAAACACAGAAACTATAAGCAAGGTCTGGCAGAACGGATGGTATATCGAGTAAAAGATGGCTTTCAACAGAGCGTGCTGCCTCGATTGCTTCTGGGACAGGCTAAGAGAATCCGAGACATAGGAGTTCGACCTCTGCGTTTGATACCTCCACTGAAGGAAGCCCCTGTGTTGCAAAAGAACTTGCTGGGAGATGATACGTTGCGAACAGCCAAAGGACTGTCCTATTATCACAGCACTGTGCACTGCACCGACATTTTATGTTTTGCTGATGGCTCTGCGGGCTACCTTCAGACCATCTTGGCTGGTCACAATGATTCCTGTTTTTCTGCGTTGAAGCAGTTGGTGCTGGAAGATGTCAAACCATGGGGGAAAATCTGGCGCTTGTCTGACCAAGAGGTCTTAATTAGCGCCAGTGCTGAATCAGATGTGGACGACGCCTTCATGGTGGAGATGGGCAGGCGACTCAGTCACGCGCCTCGCTTGAAAAAGGGAAGGGGAGCGGTTCAACCTTGTCAGTGGCGGTATAACTCCGCTGTAGGTTCTGTAGGATAGTTGGCGGTTCCTCCGCTGTAGGATTGCTTGTGGCTTGTGTATATAGCAACCAATACTTCAGTCTTGGCATGTGGTATAGAGCGTTCATTCAATAGCAGAAGGTTGAAGACGTGGCGGTGTGCCCGCTGTATACTATAGAAAACAAAGGTTTTCTGACGCCATTCCAAAAATGCACACATATATATATATATTTTTGAAAAATCATAAAAATTGTTGAAAACCCTAGAAAAACTTGAAAAAACGTTAAAATCCAAAAAAACTTGCAAAAACAAACTTTTCCAAAAACGCTTGTCCAACTTACACTAACTTATAAGTCAACTTATAAATCAGCTTAAATCTCACGAGATAAGTTCACGGTAAGTAGAATATGTATGATTTGTAAACAAAACAACATGAGCTAAGTTAACCCGTCCTTGTGGTATAGCTCCCTGAAAGGCGTACGACACTTCTGGAACAGCCTGGTTTTGCCTCTGCAAGTTTGCAATACGCTTCTACGCAAGATTCTAGTAAGGATGATGTAAAATACCTGACTAGGTTCACGGGCTTGATCGTTGCTCCTTTGCCTCCTTCTTGGCGCCCCAGCCGATTCTTGCTCGGCGCGGCAACGGCAGCTGGTTTTTTCCCGTAATGGAGTATGGCTTTGCCAGTCCAGAAAACATCCGTTTTAACGTTGGGATTTAATTTCTTGCGCTCCACTCGTCTTCATACTGATCCAACCTATCTTTGGGAAAACACTGCGGCGTTGAACGCGGTCGGTCTTTAACTTGTGGATTGAGTGAACTGGCCCCCCTCATCTCCTGGAAAGAACATCTTCTTTCAGGGTTGCAAATGATGACGCGTCCATGTCTGCTCGATGGGATTGCGTTCCCAATATATGTTCTTGCGATGGACTTGGGCAGAACAGGCGCTTGCGCGCTCTGGGTCAAATACGTGGGCAAAAGGGTGGGCGCTCACCGGTAGCTTGACACCGTTTTTTTGAACGCGCGCGCAACCATGGATCACCCAGATCGATTACCGAGCGAAGCCCATCCCTTGGCTAAGTTGTTCTTGGGCCCTGCCAATTCCTTTTAAAAGTCATCAACATATACAACCCAGATATGGTTGCAATATCGGAAGCGAAATCTGGCGCCGTCTTTTCTCTGCGCGACTGGAGTTGCTGTCAGGGTGGCCATACAATGGAAGGACCATTGGGACCATCGGCTTCCAGCACTTCTCTTCCCAATCTTTTGGCAATCTTTTGCGAAGCAACTCTAACCAAGTGGGGATGCTTGTTCCTTCCCATAACCTGACAGCCAAAAGCATCCAATATTTTGGCTGCTTCTATGGAAGATGGGCTAGCGCCGAGGTTTGCGAAAAGGGCATGTTCCGCGGACAGTCCTAGTCCTTCCATTGAACTTCCTTCTATAGTCGTCACGGGTGAACCCTTCTCGTAGCAGGCCTCGAAGATCCGGCCAAGACGAACCTTCTCTCCGCGCTCTCGGGCTTCCCGCGCAATCTTGTGAAGCTCTTTCACGCGCGCCTTGTCCCACGTTCCCTTAGTCCTAAGCTTGTCCCACTCAAGGTCAAGGGATGCTTGCGCCAGGCCTACTAGCGACTTCTTCCTTGGATATAAGCCTAGCTACAGCAGCCACATCTCAATGTCCTGTTTGAACTCTAGGCATTTGTTGTGGCGGTCCTGAATGAGTTGCACGAGCGGTTGTCGGTGTGTCTCCTTTGATTTTGCTTTTGCTGTGTGGGGGTGCTTCCCATTGGCTACCGTTTGGCTGGAGCGATGTGGCTGTTTTGATGAGGAACTCGTGGATTTCTCTTTTGCTTCTGCTCTTCCTCACGAATAGCTTTCTCCCTTTGCTTTGGACCCATCATCTTCCAAAGTTCTGAGGGGATGCCATGTGGTCTCTTGGAACCCTTATAGGTTTGAACTACCTGGCTCCATCATAGCGATAACCATCTGGCATTGGAGTTCCGTTCCGTCCGGCATGATCTCACCCGGTTCAAGGGGCTCCGCGCAGGACTTCTTCAAGTCAACGAGGCAGGGGCTCGGCGGGCTCAAGTGCGATACTTGGGGCATGCTCTAGCTCCTTTTCTTGTGGAACGATTTGTTCGGGAACAAATGGAATCACACGATCGACAATAATAGGATCCGGCTGTGGCTCTCAAGGCCGTCGGCTTTGGCTTTCAGCGGAAACTTATTATGGGCTTCAGAAGGCAACTCCAATCGCTTGGCGCGCCGCCCATGCTCAAGGTGATAGTCTATTGCTTCAAGCTTGGTGACTAATCCCCTCTCCACGCGAAACCTGGCTGAACGCGGAGTTGGTGAAAGCGCTCGATCAGGGTTATTCAAGAATAGAATCTTCGCCCCAAACGGAATCAACATCCCAGTGAACTCTTCCTCATATCTGAGTGACCAAGGACTCTCTCCTCTTCTTTCAACTGCGGGCTGACACTGACGGCTGTAGCAGCTGTAGCAAAACGCTGCATGGCCAAAGGCCACATGGTCAAAGGCATGCCTGCCTGACTGGCTCCTTCTAGTTCAACGAACGACTTGCTCGAGTCGACGTACTCGAGTGAGGTTTGTCTATCAGTTCGCGACTATTGTCAGCGTGGACTACTTCGACTTCATCCTTGCCACTGAAAGAACGGTTGATGGCGAATGCGCAATAATCTTCTGCAAAGCTAGTCATAGCGAAACTGAGCGCACAAGTCCTTGATGACTAGTGCAGCTTTCCCGCCCTGCAATCCTTCCTCAACCATTTGCTTTGATCAACACATGGTCGGCAATGATGCGATCTCCGAAGGGAGCAGTAACATCCTTGCTCTCTGGCGGCAGGTTCGGCAATGTGGGTTCTTGGGAAAGTGCAAATCCTGATGCGTTGACAATTGGGCTTCGACGATGAGGTCGGCAGGTGTCCTACTCCTCACCGCTACCACTTCTTCGTCATCGGGGTTCACACCTTCATCAAATCCTTCTTTCTCATCTCTCACCGCTTTGGAGAGTGGCCTAACTCTCAGCCAACTAACTGCTTCTCCAACGACACAACGCGCTCCTGCAATGTAGCACCTTGCCTATCACAGGCTTCCCGCGCTTGATCTATTGCCAGCCTGCATTGAGTACCACCAACGGTGCTCTGCATAATCTCGCGGCGTCGCTGCTCAGCCTCACGGCAGACAGTATCTTCGTTGCCGGATGCGATATGTTGGAGGTTGTTTTGGATGAGCTGAAAATATGCCGTCACTCCTTCAGAGCCCATGACCACGTCCTCGGGCACGAGGCGGCCCCCGGCGTTCGGTGGTTGAGCGCCGGTGGGATCATTGCGAGCGCAGCCGCAGCATCATCGTCTGTAGCCATGGCAGAGGCTGCGGCTGATAACCTGTATTTTCAGGCTCAGCCACAGAAAACTAGTCGATTACCGTTAAGATCCGTTAAGCCATGGAACTATGGGCACGCTTTTATCCTCTAAGCTGCAACGCGGCGGTGAGATTTGACTCCACGCTCAAAAGGTGCGATGGGGTAGGCGTACTTCAACACTTCCTTCCTTGCAGAAACTTCAAACTCCTTCCTTAGGTCCCCTGCACAGCAGTGCAAACCTGCACTTTGAAAGCCGTTTGCCACCGGCTCTGGCGCCTCACCCAATAAACCCGTTTTTGTTGTCTCTTCAGAAAAGTAAAAACACATGCCAAATATGTGGAATCACATGAATAGTGCGAGCACTTCTTCAAGGAAGCTCCGCTCCCTCAGGCGGGGGAGCTTCCTTGCAGAATCGTGAGATTTCCTGCTTCCGGTATATAGTAGTAGCTACTTAAGCTTGGTAGCTACCTCTTGCTGCTAGCTGCTTGTTAGCTGCCTCACAACCTACCCCTCCCCCTTTGAACACCAAAAAAAGATCTCGCAGGCGGCTTCCTTGGGCGCTTCAACCGGTAGCAAACCAGCTGCCATTTCTTGTGTCTCGCCTGCTGAAGCAATCAGAGTGAAAAATTATGAACCAAGCAAACAGGCGCCAAACCCAAGCCCTCATAAAATTGATGTCTGGGAGGAACTCCCTTACTGAAGTTTTAAGGCAAGTTGTAGTCCAATCAGTGTTGGAAAGAACGTTTGCGTCGCTGGTCCCCAACCCTTCTAATCTAAGAGAATGTGGCCCCTTGCTACAGTAATTCGTGCATGCGGCAAGCTGCTGAACTCAGAAATCGAGTCTGCTCAAGGCCTTCTTCTGGCCCCTTATCCGTTTCTTTCTGGCCAGGAACTGCATGGCCTGCAAGAGCAAAATCATGCAAAATCCTGAAACAACTTAAATCAAACGCACAAAATAGATCAAACTGGAATATTGGTACTTGGCATTGACACTCTGCATTCTGTGATTTGCGCAGGCCTCCAAAGCCGCATACTGTTTGTCCGACAATGAAATCAACAGATCCTCCATCTGGAGCCACACACGCCTCAGGACCAATATATAGGACATGACATACACTGTCATAAAGATTCATAAAAACACCGGCACATACTCTACGCAACTCTTCAAGGGACAAGACTTAGTAGGTTCAACTTGAAGCATTCAACATCAAATTCGGCCCCCTTTGGCCTTTGGCATTGCTTTGTGACACAAAATCGTGGAGGGATGTGAAGGGCTTTGTTTCAGACGGACAAGCGCTGCTCAATGTCGGAGTCAACGCCGAAGGGGAGCAGGATTCGCAGCCTCACTTCGGCCAGACAAAGCACAGCTCGGTTCCCAGAATCCAACGCAAGACACCTCACGCTGTTCAAGTTCTGCGTGGAAGCAAAAACGTTAGCTGTCCAACATCTATGTTTGTCATCTAACAAAAAGAAGGAACAAAAACATCTAAAAACATTTCATTTGAAGACGTTCGACGCTCTTTCTAGAGTTTATCAGCCACCCAGCTCAAAAGCAAGGGCGTTAAATACCGCAATCAATGCTGACCACAGATGTTCTTCCCAAATACTATATCAAAAACCAAAGAACGCAAATCCACTCGCTAGTCGCACGCAAATTGGTCAGGGTTATATAAGACTTTATATGTAGCAAAGCACTCTGCGGCTCTACTCAAGCGGGAGCTGGCCCTCTTTTAGTGAAGTAGAGCAATCTCCAGGCAAAAGACTAAGATCGTTCCGCATCTGCGAAGATCGTGTTTGATTCCGAGGTTGGTGGAGTACCCTAGACCGGCGGCGATTTGTAAGGGATTGGTGGTGACATGTAAGCTGGAGCAGACTTTGTTCAGACGCTGAAATTTGGGCTCATCGCGTGGACAAAGCAGGCTCTTGCCGTTCTATGTTCATCATGTTTAACCCGCCAAAAGGAAGCGAAGTGCTCCAGACCTTCCCATGCTTCCAGTTCTGGAACAAAGCAGTGAACTGTGAGCTTACTTGCACAACCAAATGACTCAGTCCGGCAATTCAGGTGGGGAAGCTGCGGCAAAAAGACTTTCGAAACGTCCACTGGCTTGGAAGAATGGTCGCTCTAAACGCTGTGCAAGCGCATGGTCTTGAGATTGTTGTGCGTCCAGGATCCAATGTTTTCTGCATTTTTCTGCAATGTTCATTTGAGTTTACTTCTCTACTTAGGGTTGCGACACTATTCTTCAATTGCTTTGCTAGGCAGGTGGACAGCATGGCCAAGGAAAGTCACGCAGGCACGCATAGTTATTCGTGAGTGGCCCTAGTTCAACATAAAATGCAGTGGAAGGTCGATGTAGAGAAAACCCATAATAGAAGCAAAAAGTAAAAGGTTTCTGAAGTTGTTCTGAGGTCGCTGCTCCCCAACCTTGTTTTTGCCTACAATCACCTCGAGGTTGAAGGCCTGAGGTCTCAGCTGGTGAAATGCAAACAGTTGGATCAACACAAGCGTGTGTGCCTCCAGCAAGACTGATCATTGACTTATTGAATGTATTCTCAATTGAACACTGCACGCCCCTTTTTGAGACAATTCTCAGGCTGAAACTGCAGGCATATTCGCCTCACCTGGCCCAGCAGTCTCCAAAACAGTCCAAGACTTAGCCACCTGACCTTTGCGCAGGGCAGTCCTGCCTGCAGTGGTTGCAGGTGCCTTCTCCTCCCAAGTTTGGGCGCTCACCAGTCTTTTTTGATTTTTACAACTGCAAAGATTCTGGTGGTTCAAAAATACCATATTTACGTGCTGGGAAAGACTGCTGCCATTGGGATGGCCAACAAACAACCTGTTAACCATGCACCCCGAACAACCAAGGTAATTGCTGCATTGTTGACTTGCTGACAATACTTGCTTGGGTCTCTAAATTAAAAACATTCACACGACCACACAGTGGTAGCGGTGTGTGTGTCATGCAAACATTATAAAGCGGGGAACGCGCATCACACCCTTTAAGATGCATGGTCGTTTCCAATCGCCGACACTGAGGCATAAATCGTTAGTAAACTAGGGCGACTCACGGGTTGCGTGGTAAAAGGCCACACCAGTCCAGGTTAGCCACAGCAAACCACTTCTTTCATGCTTTGCTGCTAAGTTTGCGACCAGAACGTTTTTGGGGGCACAGAATCTATTCGAATTACAGTATCAAAAATGACAGGAGAGTGCCCTGCCTCATTCACTGCAGTAATTGCAGTCTGGGCCTGCAAAACGTCAACTCCAAAGACCAAAATGCTACAAATTTGCAACCATGCCACTTGGAAGAGAAAAACCGAAGAGTCAAAACAACTGGGGCCACCTTCTTTTTAGCTAATGTTGGCTAGGCTTGCTCAGCGGGTATTGGATCAGTGATCGAGACTGAGGAAAGATCGTTGCACAAGCACTTTGGCTGTAAACTGCAACCAAACGTATTGGGATTGCTGCGTTCATGGCCTTGTCATCCTCAGCCTGCCAGGCCGCCAGGCTCGAGGGAAAAAACAGCTGAAAAAATAACCTGATATCGTATGGAAAACCGTGGCACTTGGAACCTTGGTCGTTGGTATAGGGAGGTCTACCGAGTCCAAGTGCACGAAGTCCCAGGTCATATCAAAGAAGGTGCAAGAACCCAGCAATGCTCTTTTCAGTAGCCAGCCATGGCCGAAGGTCTTTCAAACGCCGACCCTTGACGCACGCGGTCGATCAGGATCAAACATGGGGTGTGCGGCGCACAATTCACACAGGTGAAAAATGCGGTGGAAAGAAGAACTACTGTAATCCTCCAGGCTCCATTCTTCACCAAGTCTGTGCTCAAGCTTGCAGTGGTTCGATGGGTACTGCCGACGGGCACAGTCGGCGTACATTCATCACAGAACACCTGAGAAGAAGGAGACACGAAAGGTAAGAAAACCAGAAGGTGCAAGGGTGGAAGGGCACCAAAAGGCATTGTAAGCAGCCTGGAACCGGGGAACCAAGTTTATGGAATGACCATGGAGAATGACTTTGAACTTGTTTCAACACTGGAAAGACTGGAAAAGTCGATAATGTTAGAAATGTTAAAAACTCTAACTTTTCTCGAAAAGTCGAAAACTCAATCTTGTCTCGAAAAAGTCGTCAAAAAGTCAAACTTTTCAACTGATCTCAAAAGGTCAAAAAGTAAAACTTGTCCCAAAAGTCGAAAAAGGTTCAACTGCTCTCGAAGAGTTGAAAAAACGCAAATTTTTTCATTTGTTGCGATACGTTTTCTCCTTGCTACGCTTAGTCCTGAAGCTTTTTGGAGAAAAAGAAAGCTTTTGTCGAAAAGTCTACCATTGAAAGTTGTTTCAACAAGTCGAAAACAATAACTTTTGACTTTTTGTCAAAACATGGCTGCAGTCTTTTCCTTTGGGCAGAAAAACCACTTCAGTCGAAGGTTTGTGAACTGTACATGCTATGCATGATCTAGGCAAAGTAAATCTCACACCCTGCCTTGCGGATGCATGCTCAAAGGCGTCCATACTTTTCTCTTTGGCACTTAAGCCATTTGAACCCGCTGTGGTGACCAGAAGTTGTTCTTAACTGAAATCTTCACCTCTCACTATGGCCTCCATCGCCATGCTCTGCGCCATCGGGCTCCTCATTCTCCTTGTCCATGTCATCGTTGTCTTCACTATTTTCCTTCTGAAATAGAGAGGTTCACCGTCTTGCAGTCCAGCTCTGATGCGGTCAGTAGAGCTGCCTGCATATGTTCTCCTTTCACCTGTCTCAGCTGTTCCAGCTGCAAATGCCAAGCCTGCCATGCTGCGCTCTCCAGGGATGATGTGTGTTTCCTCTGGTAGTACCTGAAGCATCGCCTCTTCTATGCCTCGAAGTTCTTCTCTAGCTTCTCGTTCTTCTCCACGTTGATATCGCTCCACTGTATTCAAGGATTCGTTTCTGCCTGCTTCATTCATGTCATTCGTCGCTTTCTCAATTGCTTCTCTCTCTAGCCTTTGTAGCTTCTTGATGAATCTGAAGCTTCTTCTGCATCCTTCTGAAGTTGCGCAATCGTCGATTGCTTCCAGGATCTCTTTGCGTAGGATCTGTAGTCTGCCAAACATGTCTCCATTCAATATCACTCTCTGCGTCATTGCCGTGTCCAGGATCTGGTTGATCAAGCTTGCCAATTCATGCCCTGCATGAACTAGGTGAGTTTCAACTCCTTCTCCTCTCATCAGCATCTGTTGTCGATACCAGTCAAAAGTTTCCTGGTCATCTGGGATCATGTCATAGAGCTCGTCCTCGTTGTAGTGATTGCTGTTGTCAGCTATCATCTCACCAATGCGTCGGCCTGTCTCTTCCAGAGTCATCCAATATCGGTTGTCTGTGTCTTGTGCTCTGTTCTGAGCTTCTGCTTGTCGTTCTCCTTCTGAATTTGTCTCAAAGTCAAGTACAATTCGTGAACTGTCACTTGAAATCTCGAGGCGCTCTGCCTCATTGGTCTCATTGCTCTCTTGATCTTCTTCGCCATGACTTGAACGTCCATGACCATCAGAGGTCATCCATTGGTGTCCATCTTCTCCATGACCATATTGTTGTACTCGTCGAACTTGTCCAGGTAGATGTTCGTCTCCATGGTGTCCAGGATGAAGTTCATCATTTTCTCCTTCTGGTTCTGGATCTTCTGGTCTCATAGCTCCACGCGAAGCTTCTTGTTGTAGTCGCCGTCGTGGTCCATGTGCTGCTTCTTCTTGATCTCCACTCTGTCCAGCTTGTGTGAAAACATCAAATCGTTCTTGTCCAGGTTGACTCAAAGTTTGATCTGGACTTGGTTCTTCTCCAAAAGGTTCATCTTCTTCCGGAACTTGTTCATGTTGTTCTGGTAGATCTTGATCATGTTCTCCTGGCGCTCCATCGATGTGGTTTCTCCCACTGCTTCCTGCTCGTCCGAAAGGAAGGGGAAGTATGTTCATCAATCCTCTTTGGAATCTCGAAGGGTCGATGTCTTGCCATATACCTTGTAGCGCTACATACTCTTCACCAAGTTCTGCTAGCGCTCCTATGTGAAGGGGAGGTCGCCATCCTAACCTCATTGCATCTCCAGGTGTCATTCTTGGTCTCTGTCTTCTTGGTCTGTCTGGAGTGATGCCTGCTGTAAAAGGTCCGCTCTCTTGCGAAGTTGATGTCGAGGACGAAGAACTGTTGGGGTCTCCTGGTCGTCGTAGATGTCGATCTGGTCGTAGTCTCCGCGTCAACTCGTCGAAGACGTTCTGAGAAAATCTCAGCTGCACTTGCTGCAATCTGATCGCATAGATCAGGTAGGCAATCAGCTATGTCAATGCTGTCATCACCATGTTCTTGACCGTGAGGTAGTCCATCCATGCAATCTCTCCACCTGTCAGGAAAGTGCGCTCACAGCCTTGCAGAAAACAACTGCTACTTGCTAGTAGGACTCTCAAAATCTTCTGAAGTGATCTGCTGTCCAATGTTTTCTCTGTCTCAATGTTCTCTATCTCCATGCCAGTTTGAAATCCTATGGGAATCAAAGCCATCAGCTTCTTCCTTCGTTCTTGTGAAAGTTTCTTCGTGTTCAGATCTGACGGGTTGATTGCTGTTGGAACCCTACATAGCCGAATCGTTTTCTCTCGAACCAAATCTTGGGTCCACAAATTGCGGACGTGGATGTGCTTCAGCTTTCCTTGTCCGGCTCTCTGCATTATGCCTCTTGCTGCAGAGCTGTCGCTGTATGCTGTCATCTGCACATCTTCTCCAATCAGAAATTTCAACAAACTGCCAACGTGCACAAGTTCTTCTATGCCACTGCAACTTGCATAGAGTTCTGAGTTCTGATTCTGCACTTGATAGTGCTATTGAGCTTTGCAACTTGCACGAGGAAATCAAAAGATTGCCGTTCGTCGTTCGTGAAAATCATGTAGGATGTTGTCGACTTTCTTGAGACCTTGCATCCTGCCCAATTGGCGTCTGTGAATACTTCTAAATTGAAGCGTTGCCTGTCTTGCCTGTTATTCCATTCTGGATAGTCCCAATGGTCACTTGTGATCTGGTACATCTTGGTTTGCATCAGCAAAACTCCTGCTTCTTGTGTTCCTTTGAGGTAACTTGCTAGGTGTCGTAGCGCTGTAAAAGCTAACTTGGTTCCACCTGCCATGTATGTTGAAAGTGTCTTCAGTGCTTGCTGGATGTCTGGTCGGTCTTGTGCTATGTAAAGTGCTAGTCCGGGACCTGAACGGAAAATCTGCTGTCCTTCGGCGTCAAGTCGTTCGTTGTCTTTGATGTCATCTTTGCTGTAAACTTCAAGACTTGAGTGGTGCGGTAGGCTCTTTGCCTTCTTTCCTTCTAGTCCTAGGAGTTCCACCATCTTCTTGATGTAGGAGGGATTCGGTTGGATGAAAATCCCCTGCCTTGCCAACATCACCTTCTTCTTCAAGTAGTACAGCGTTTCGCCGCTGTTGAATCTGAATGGTCCTTCTGCGTTCATCGTGAGGTGTGTTCTCACCATCGCGCTGAACCATGTCCAATCATCTGGGTTGCACGTCACCAAAACATCGTCCACGTGGATCATCATGAAAACCTTTCTTTCCACATGTTTGAAAACTGTTGGCATACCTTTGTAGGATTGGAATCCTGCCTTCTCAACTAGTTCCTTGAAGTGTTCACTCCATCTGAGCGCTGCGTTTCTCTGGCCTGGCCTGATTGGCATTTCAGTAGTTTCCACTTCTCAGCCTTCAACAGTGGGTTGCCTGTCTCATCATGTTCTCCAAGCTCTTGAACCCACTGTGGCGCAATCACTTCTACTAGCTCTCGTTGTCGAACGCTATTCCTTGATGTCTGCCACATAGAGTTGCAGGTCGAAGATTGCTCCCAAGACATTGTGTCTCATCTGTGTTGGATGTCCTGTACTCTCTGGCAACGATTCTACATCTTCTCTTCCACTTTCCACTGTATCGCCAGTCAAAAACACATGTCGTGTCCAAAATCCATTAATGCTTCTTCTTGCTCATCGGGATCTGCCACTGCCAACACTTCTGAGATCTGCCACTGCCAACACTTCTAGCTTCTGTGGCCTTTCAATCTCTTCAAGTGTTGCTTCTCGATCTAACTGTGCTAGCATCTCATCGCTCACAATTGGAGGTCCATCTCGCTTTTCTCTGTCAATGAGCTTCTCCGAGAAGTCCATCTCAATGTCGAGTTCTGGATGTGACTCTTCATCAAATTGCCACTCTTCAAGTAGATCAGCTCGTTCATCTACATAGTGTTCTTGAACTTGTCGGATGTCTCCGGCGAATGTCGGACTGTACATTCCTGTCCAAGCTGCTTTTGCTGTGTGCTCTGAAGTTTCTTCGCTGTGTTTGTATGCCTTTGCTGGTTGTTCTTCACTTCCTCCTTCAAGAGGATGTATCTTCAATTCTTTTCTGTTGCGATGCGTCCATTGCCCCTGAGCTGCTACTTCCTTTGTCTTCTAGAACTTCGAGCCGAGGCTTCTTTGCAACTTG